AAAAAAATTTTTTTTTGGGGGGAGGGGGGGACCTGCCCCCAGGCCACCCCCCAGGTCCGCCCCTGGTCGTGGTGGTGCCGACAATTTTGGTTTTGGGTTGGGTTGGTTTGGGTGGGGTGGGGTGGGGTGGGGTGGGGGTGGGATGGTTGGAGAAGATAATAGGGTTTTTTTATTTTTGATTTAGTTATTTTATTTTAGTTCCTTTTTATATGAAAAAAGGAAAAGTTACAATTTTATCCTTTTAAAATTTGGTCAAATCTATTATTCTTGGTCAACTAACGGTCAAATCCAGCTGCTACATTTTGAAATGTTTGGTACCGTGGGTGACACAAATCAAATGTTTGGGTAAAGTCTGCAAAAAAGTGAAAGGTTTGGTACCGTGACTGCAATTTTTCCTAATTAAAATTTAATAATATCGTATTTTTAAAATTTTAAACCTTGTCTATTAATTTTGAAATGAGTCCTAGTTAAGCTATTAAATATGATATTTTTCCAAAGATATGACTACTTTTCTAAGAATGGACGAGCCCAATATTGGCCCAACATATATCCAAGTCATCTAATCTAAGTGTTATTTTATATAAATTTTAGCAGAATTTGATAAAAGCTAATGAAATATAATATTGAAAAGTTGATAAAAATTGTGCATCCCATAAAATGTGATTGAAATTAACTCTGAACTTTGATCTTAACTTGCTAAGCTATCCCAAACAACCAATTAGATAAAAAGAAAAACTTAATACTAGACTAAACCCCCATTTGGTATTCATTATTTTCAAAATACATTTTTCTATCTCTTATTTTTAACTACATATTTTTCTATAAAATAATATTATACGAAAATTCAAAATTTTTCCTTATTTTTTAACCACATACTCTCTATCAAATTACTATTCTAAAATGCATTTTGGCAAGAAAATGTGGTTCAAACATACATTAAGTAACGAACATGTTCAAAGATGCCAGGCCGTCCTATCAACCTCTGGACGCATTTATGGACGTTGGAAATTTGTATGTTCATAAGGATATTAAAGATTCGAGTTCTTGTAATTCTATCATAAAATATTTTTAATCTAAGTTCACTCTCAAAAGGGTTATGTGAACTCAAACAATCCAACTTCCAAACGAAAATACCCTCGTCTCTACACCACAAAAAAACCCTAAAATTGATCCAACGTAGAATTTTTCACATTTGTCAATTTGTGTACATAGCATACAAAGTAAAATGGAAAAACAAAAGAGGCATGTACCCTTTGCCACATGCCTGAATTAAATAAAAAAGCATTAGCCAACAACTTTTGAGATCAATCAACTTATCATTTTCTAGCTTATTCATAAAGCCAACAATCAAGAATTCCCAAGGAAAAAGGCAAAACCTAATTAATCAGTCATAACCTGTCTCCACAGACAAAAATCAACTTTAAAAGATTCTCTAACTAAAACAAAAACTTAAAGAAAATCCCTCAATTTTTTTTGTCACAGCATGGGATAATCTGATCTCACAGCTTCAGCAGAATGCCAATCATAAATTTGAAGTCATTTTTGTTTGATTTTAGCCTTCTTTCCCTTTGCTCTCCAAAATTTGGCCATGTGTGTTCTCTGTGTTCGATTTTAGTCTTCTTTCCCAAAGACCATTATCAGGTGCATCTATAAAGTATCTGAAATCTTTGTTGCCAATTTGTGTTTCCTTATGATCACCAAAATGCTGCTTCTTGAGTTGCAGCTTTGCCTCCAACAATGAGTTAGTTACTTCCTCATCTCCTGGAATTTCTTGCATCAAAACCTCGTAATCTTGAATAGCAGCATCCCATCTTTCCAACTGATTTACATGAATCAAAAAGGAATAAACGATTAATGGGTCTGATAATGTTGATCAGAAGCATTACCTCATTTTTCCAATTGGGAATGGAGGACGAAAGTAGTGGTGTCAAAGTGGACAGGCCTATTATAGGTTGTGGGTTGCCAAGCTTGGCACTATGACCGGTAAGGGCAAATTTTTTTTTTAAATAACTCAGGTTGTTCTGGCCCTATCTATAACCTACCTAGCCTGACTCGATTGACATCACTTAGTGAAAGTGGAAAATGAGAGGAAAAATGCAATTGAAACAGAAATACGAATCAGAAATATGATCTTTTCGAGAGGGACATACCTTAGAGTTGCAATTTGCCCTACGCAATCTGGCCTTGCTGTACGATGGATGCACATTAAGAGCTGCAGTGCAATCTTCTACTGCTTTCTCATACTGGCCTAATTTGAATCGGCAAGCAGCTCGATTGCAGAGCAGAATTGAGTTATAAGGATCATGTTCTAGTCCTTCTGTATATGCAGTAAAAGCCTCTGAAAACCTGGATTCTTTGAATAGCTGGTTACCATTTGATCGAGCCAATGCCACAAATTTAACTCTTTTTGCTATCAAACTTGATTCATGTCTTGCATCAAGTCCTACAGCATTCTGAGCAGCAGCCACAGCATCCTCAAACCTGTCAGACATTAACATGCCTTTGAATAAAATATTCGACTCTAGAGGAAATTGTGCGTGAACAACATTCTACGAAAATTTCAACTGACCTGCCGATGGCCAGGTAAACCAGGGATCGAATGATTAGTAGTGCAGCGGTGGCAGAGGAGCCGAAAAACTGAGTGCAGAGTGGAATGCTGAAATTCGGGCCCTTCTTGATAGCCTTACATGCCTCTTGGTGCCTATGAAGTTTCATCAGTGCTTCTACTTTCATTGCATAGATCTGTAGAAAAACAGTTAAAGAACTATTTAGCATTTTTTACATGCACATAATATGGCATAAGATTAATAGTGTGAAGTACTGACCAGTGGAGCTGAATCTGCTCCTGAGGACAGTGCAATCTGAGACTCATTCAGCAATTTTTTCCAATCTCCTAGATTCTGAGCTTCAGAACACCTGTCAAGGCACGTCTTGAGAGCTTGAGCTTGAACGATGTCTTCATTGCCAGCCTTGCGCCCTGAGCACTTGTAGTGACACAATGCTTTCTCGGGTTCTCCCAATCTATGAGAAAAGTAGTGAAAAAATTCCGTAAGAAAATGTTAAACGCAGGTGACACTACAATAAACAAGATTTTAACTTTTTTTTTCTCGTCAGACGTAAATATATGTTACCTCAAATACAATTTTGCTAGACGACAATGAGCATTAAAGTACAGAGGATCTATCTGGATAGCCTCTCTACATTCAAAAACTGCCTCTATGAGGCGGCCTAAACCCATCAAGGCTGCACTTTTGTTGCTATAATAGCAAGCCTTGCTCGGATCAATAGCGATTGCTTGGTTGTATAATGCCAAGGCCTCCTCGTACTTTGCCTGCTTATACTTTTCATTCCCCAAGGACTTCAAAACATCAGGATCCAATCTATTTGATAAACTACGTAATATGTTTCCAAATCGAGGGGTCATTTCCTTGGATTTCTTCATCATTTTCTCCTGAATCTCCAATCTATTTGATGTACTCTGCTTCCCCTGCTGCTTCAAGTTACCCAAATGGCCTAAAAGCATGACATTACCCGTAGAAGCTCGATACGATGTTCCATTTGAGTCAGATTTACTTTGATCAGCAACTGTCAGGCTGAAATCACTCGAGGTGAAGGAAGTTCCCTTGGCGTGCCTTCCCGTGTTGGACGAATTTACATGTTGAGACACTCCATTCGAGCTCGAATTGTTGGAGGACGACATTGAACTTCTCGTTGCATCTGATATTCCGGTACCTTGAACACGAGAAGTTGTACGCCTTCTCCTAACAGAAACAGGCTTTTCCAATGATTTTTGGACCATTTTGGATGGATTCTTATCCGATTTTAAGGATTTCAGACGTCCGATTTCACTGGAATTCTCAGGTTGCTTCCTGGAAGTTGGAGTACTTTGAAACAGGACAGATTTTCTTTGCCTCAAGTTCTTTAGTTGAAGAAACGCTCCCATTAGACCACAGCCCATTTCATTCTCCACCGTATATCTTGCAGTTTTTGCCATTGTCCCTTTCTATCTGAAGATACCTTGAGGGCTTTTCTACGAGAAAATGATAAGCAAAATGAAATCAGAAATACACATTCACCGTCGATGGATAAGTGAAAATATGATCATTCTTTACACAATCCAATGAGAATTGACTCGTATTCAAACTAGTAGGACATAAAGGGATGTCTCAAAAACGAATTCCCCATAACTTAAGAAAAGTAGTGGGGGAAAATTCGTTAAATATGCAGAAATATATAGCTTGAAAATGAAGTGTTCAATGCGATAGGTCTACTGCATATGGGATTGTATTTATACAAGAGTGGAAGCCAAGAAATCAACTTTATTTCTTTTGGCCCTGTCAAACAAATTTCAAATAGGACAAGAAAAATACTACTTTTTTTTTCTCCTTTGCATTAGTGGAGGTCTTATCAATGGAGTTATAATATTATCATTTCTTCGTAATCATTCTTTAATACCAAAAGCGTAGGACCTGTTTGGAACATATCCAGTTTTTTGTATTCTAAAGGATCATCTATTTGCT